ATTCTGGCTTTACATCATTCCTTTTCTGCCATAACCCAGCATAGGCTGTTGCAAGTAGCCATTCAGCTTCTTTAATAACTTCGCTGCTCGGAAATTTCTTATGCCAAACATTCTGGTTCACAACTCTTAAGTCCCACCTTCCACAAAGTCCAAAGGTATGGACACAATGCAGCCAACTTCCTTGCTGTGGTGTAGCAAGGGTGATCTTTTGTCTAATTCCTGATAAGTTTCTCATTTCTTTCCAAGACCTCATCATCAGCATGGCCTTTACTATTCACATTTCTATCAACATTCTGATTACAATGATTTAGCCATTTAACTCTAAGACTTTCCAAACATTCTCTCATCTTTTTGTCTTCTTCTAAGTCCTCCAAACTCCTCCAACCTTGGCCTGTTACCCGGTTCCAAACTCTGTTAGGGGTTTTTTCTTACTCTCATCGTGGCTTCTCCCACCTTCATGAACACTGTAGGTCTCTCCTCCTTTTCCCCTGAGCTCTAGCGGCCCCAGCGTGGCTGTTGTTGCTTCTTTATAGTTGTAAATTGGTTGATTTGTGGGACAGAGTGATGCTGGGAACCGTCTATTCTACCATCTTGACCAGAAGTCTCTGTAACTATTTCTTGATCGTTGTATTTCTTCTTTAAATTTACATTTTTCAGAGGCTCTATTTTCTTCCCTTGTTTCTTCTTCCCTAACTTTCTTTCCTTTTTCCATTTCTAAACTGGATGAGATTTATGAACGGTTTTTACTTGCCTCACATCATGATCTTTTTAGCATGTTCCCTGCCTACACTTTATTTTCTTCTTGGGGTATTTTTGCATAGTTATCATGCTGGGTTTTTGGAGGGTTTTGTTGTTGTTGTTTTTTCGATTATTATTCAAACTCTTCCTTAGCAGCACTCTCTTCTGGGGTTTGGTTCTGACTAGCAGGACACCCTGACTCATGGTGGAGAGCTTTCTGCCATAAGTGTTGCAGTGTATGATGTAGCTCGTGTCTCTTCAACTAAGACTGAAGCTCTCTCTCTGTCCCCTTGAAAAATGGTCCAACTTTTACTGTACTTGCTAGCTCTTCATATATGATGGTTTAGGTTTACAAACATGTAGTTTAGTCAAGGATGGTGTTTTCTTTACTGCTTCTCTCTTCCTGTTATTTTCCATGAGTTTCAAAAGGAATGGAAGAGCAGAGAAATTTTTATGCTGCTTTATTAACATGGAAATTTTGCAATAATGGTCTTTAACTTGTCTTCTGCCTTCTAACTTGTTTTCTTGCTCTCTTGTAGTCCCCTCTCCACAGCCTGCTTGTTGGAAAGCACAGATCAGAATCTGTGACTTCTCTGCCTCACAAGCTTGCTCCATGTAGCTCAGAAGGTAAATCACCAGCACTTCACAGTGGCCCCACAGGCCGCGTGTGAAATGGGCTCTGCTTCATACTTATCTGGTGCTTGCTGTTATTACCCCTTCATGTTTTAGCAATACTGAGTTAACTTGCATAGCCCATAACCTACTGGGAAACTTCGTATCTGTGCTCCTTTTCATATGCCTATTGCTGCTGCTTGGAATTCTTGATCTTTTTTTTTTTTTTTTTGGTCCTTTTTGAGACCGGCCGTACCACGCTCAGCCAGTGAGCACTGTGATTGCACCGGTCATCCCTATATAGGATCCGAACCCGCGGCAGGAGCGCTGCTGTGCTCCCAGCGCCGCATTCTCCCGAGTGCGCCACAGGCTTGGCCCGGAATTCTAGATTTTTACTTACCTAATAAGTTCCTATTTATTCTTCAAAACCCAGCTCAGACGGTTCTTGCTTTCTGAAGCCTACTTTCACTCCTTTGGAACAGAATTGATCTCTCTTTCCTTTACGAGACCTCTTTACTTCAAATATGTTTTGATCATAGTATTTTTTCATTATATTATTATTATTGTGGTTTACATATTTTTCTTCACTAGATTATGAGTTCCTCAAAATTGTTTCTTGTGTCTCCATCACTTGGCACAGGGCCTGGTACTTATTAGAGTCTCAGGTAATAAATTGAATCAAAATGAATTGAAAGATTGAAACTTGAATAATAAATATTTAGGCTTAATAAAATAGGACAAAGGGTTTTAAATGAAGGGCTTGAATTTCTTTTTTGTTGCTTTTTGTTTTCTTTTTACTTTGCTGAGTTTGAATGAATTACAAATGTTAAAAAATAACAAAACAAATTTTAAAAAGCAAAAACAAATATAAAAGTTCTGTAGACCATAATAAAGGACTAGTGATCAGGAAAGAGGTGGAGAAGAGAACTACAAGTCGTGGAGTTATTTGAATGCCAGTAATAACTTACATTGCGAGGGCAGATGCCAGCTCCACGATGATATACACTGAGGAAGAATAAAGAGTCTGGGACAAATACACATTTCTTTCTGGTGTGGTGAGAAGAATTAGCAGCGAGCTTTTCTGCATGCCTCAGCTGTCAGGTTGAGAAAGATTATCTGTTCCTGGGACTCAATCTCTGTTTTTAAAATAACTACTTATATTGCTGATTTCAGGATATTTCTTCTCTCCCGAGCTAAGTTCTGTGAAATTTTTTATGCCCATTTCCAGCAATAATGGATGATGTGCATGCCTCAGTAATGTAATTTAGTGACTTGTTGCAGTGAAAGGTGAAATACTGAGTGAGGATTGAAATACTCCATATGTCTTAAAATTCCACAAATCCATGCGTGTGGGAGACATTCAGCACAGAAACGCAACATGACTAATCCTTACAGAGCACTCTGAAATCGATAGTTCTTCCCCACAGCCTGGACACACTGCAGAATGCATTCCCTTGGGACTTTAATGGAGCCATCTGGAATTTTTCAAATTTAATATTAGTGCTTTGCTTTTGCAGAAGGGCAGCAAAGACCCTGCTTCATAAGCTTTCTGCCTGAGACATTTAGTTGTCCATTGGCATGGTTGTTTCTTTGTTCCAATAGCTCTGTAAGAAATTAATTGCATGCAATCCAAGACATGTTTTTGCTTACTTCCCATTAGAAAACACCAGGAGTGAAGATGTTTCCTTGTTGCTGATTATTTTTTCATACCCTATGCAGCTTAAGAAACTAGCTGACCTTATTTCAAATATATATTTCTCTTTAGATTCACCTTCCTATCTCATTTCACCTTCCATTCAACACCCTCTTCACACCCCTTTTATTTTTCCTAATCATTAAGGCTCATTATGGGTATGTGTCTGTTGCTGGGTGCTTTGGAAGCCCTTTGGCTCTGATAGTGCCCACATTATAACCAGTCTGGAGCTTCAGGCACATTCCCTGGGCCCTTTCCTCATAGCTGGCCTAGGAGCAAGCAAACTTGTCTTGATGGTAGTTTGAAGGTTGCACAATGACTTTTTAAGGAACTCTATGATCTGTCTGAGTCTGAATACCAGTGTGGTGGTGCTGAAATTAATTCAGTTCAATGAACTTTAATCAAGGGTCCACTTGTTCTAAATAAGATGCAGTCCCAGTTTTCAAGGGGGCTACAACCTAGTAGGGAAGACTGATATGAAAACAGTAGAAAATAGGGGAACTCCAAGGAGTGGGTTAATCAGCTCCACCCAAGAAGGCCAAGTGGTGATTCTCATGCAGTGATGGCTTAATGATTGTGGCAGGTTCCCATTCATTGCTCCTCATGTTTATCCCAGGATGCCAATTTTCTTTGCACCAACGCTCAGGACCCTCTGTAGTTTTCACATGCAAAAGTCTACTTGAAGTGACCCATAAGGTTGAAATGATTTGACACTTTGCCACGAATGGAAGCTCAAGGCTTTTTTCCCCATTACTACTGTCTTTATACTTTACTGTTCACTCGCATGATAAACAGCGATATCACTAATCAGTAAATAAAGTAAAGCAGTATCAAGCATCTCCAAGTTGCTAAAAATCTTCTTCAACCACTTTTGCATGCACTGAATGATTCTTGCCCCAACATTTGTCATCATGTCTCATAAATATTAGTTATATTAACAGGTAGCTTTATTGCCAAACTCCTATATTTATCTTTGGTCATGTCCCTGCTATGGGCTCTGGTGGGCTGATCATTCAGAGAAGAGGACTCTTCCCAACTGGGGCAAGAACGTGATTTCTTGCCTTTCTCTTCAGAATCCCAACAATTGAGTACAGTATCCTGTGCCTCTCTTTCTTCCCAGAAAAGAATAAGTTGGCAGTCAAAACTAATCTTTCAAGCTGGAGGTGAATTTATCTACAAGTTTGTATCTGTGTTGCTCTGAGTATCTCAATTAGTAATCAACTTGAGGGGGAAAAAATGTTTGTTATGATCGATATGATGCTTCATTGATCTTGGAAGACCATGATGAGAACTGAACTCACAGATGGTTTACAAAAGTTGTTGATTGGTGAAAATTCTGTGGGACTTCTGTGGTTGACCTTCTTGTCTCATCCCAACTCTCACAGGATTAGAGAACAAGGCCAGCACAGAGAGGTCTGTGTCATGCTCCCTCAAATGTGACATTCCATGAAGAGTGGAACCAAAAATCAATAATGATAAGGATTCATGCTGTTTTCTAAAAATTTGTCCCATTTTTTTTATTGTCAAAGTAGATTTCCTTTTACCTTCCTGAGTACCTACAGACACTCAATCAAGTACTTATTAACATCCTTGGCATTTTCTCTGAAGGCTTAGCCTTGACTCAGTGACATGACGGGATTTTATCCAGTACCACATTTTTATGAATTCTCTTTTTTGTGTGATAAATTCAAACTTAACTAGGTTCGTTGCAGCCCTGTGAAACCGTGCATAGATCGACATTTTAGTAACCCCTAATACCCATCCCATCCAGGTAAGTTTTGAGGGTTATTGATTTAAATATACCATGCAACCAACACATTAATTACATAATCTACTGTATTGAATTTTTATTTAACTGAATTTTGGGGATATAATTTCTATGTAATTATTCTTGATCATTGTTATAATTATGATATACAAAATATTTATCATGCTTATTATCTCCTTTTAGGTCACCAGTCTCTTCAGAAGATCATGGTAAGAATCTGTCTTATTTATACTAATTCAGGATTAAAAGTTGAGCCCTGGTCCTTGCATTTCACTGTCAGAGTGAAAAATTATTTAGGAAAATGTCTTTAAGATGTTGGCATTGTATTTTTTGAGTGTGAATTATCAACCACTTAAAAAAATGTAACTAAAAATAACGATTTGAGCTTATAGAAGTAGAAAGAAGAATTGTGGTTACTAGAGGCTGGGAAGGGGAGGGGAGATGAGGAAAGGTTGATTAATAGACACAAAATTACAGCTAATGGAAAAAATAAGTTCTAGTGGTGTACAGTAGTGCTAGGCATCTATAATTAACAATAATTTATTGTATGTTCTCAAATAACTAGAGGAGAGAAACTCAAATGTTTTCATCACAAAGAATGATAAATTTTTGTGATGATAAATATACTAACTACCTTGATTTGACCATCACACGTTGTATATATGTATTGAAATTTAACTCTGTGCCCCATAGATATGTACAATCAATATGTTTCAATTTAAAAAAAATAACTAAATTACTAAAAATAAAGTAAAAATATATCCTAGAAAAAAACTTAATTCACCCTGGCTAAATTTGATGTCTTGTATTAGTTTCAAATCTGTTACAACCGTTTTGGTTGACAGATATTGTGAAGCTTAATGTATTCTGCTTGATTCCTGTCCCATTACCAGAAACTTTTTGTGATGTTGGGCTAGTCATATAACTTCTCTGAATCAAATTTTTGTCTTTAAGATGGAGGTTTATAGTAGATATTCCCAAAAGATCCTTCTGAGTGCACTTTTAGACTATGTCCCAATGCACTCATTTACAAAGAGTGTTATAATTCTGAAATGAAGTTACTTAGTAAGTAGTATGAGTTGTTACCCAGATGAGATGAATTATTTGTATTTTAGGAGACAGCTATTTTCCTCAAAGGATAAAATGTCTAATTTTGTCCAGTATATCCTTTGGAGTTGTTCATTTATTCAGTCAGTCATTCAAAAATGCTCATTAAGTGGCTACAATGGGTCAATTATGCTATGTAATTATGCTTTACAAATACGGCCTACAGGGCTTTAGTTTAGGGCCTCTTTATCTTATTTGGACTTTTGAAATTGTCTCATAACTGGTATTCATACTTCTAGATTTTCTTCCTCTAGTTCACTGTATCCATAGCTAGCACCAAACCGATCTACAGAAAAAGAAATCTACTGTCATTGCCTTTAAGGTGAACCCTTTCCAACAGACCAATTATGTTCTGCTTTCCAATGAAATCTTTATCTTCCTCTATGGCTTATTGTTTCATTTGCCATCTTTTCCCCTTCTCCTGTCCACAATGTCCACTCCAGCCATGTGGCACTGCATCTGATTGCTGGAACTCACCGTGTTTATCATGTCTTCCTGCCTTGTCTATACTGATCTCTCTAGCAGAAAGCTGCTCCTCTCCTGCCACATAGACTGTTTCTACCTCCATTACCTCATCCTCTTTCTAATCCACTTATTGTGCCAAGTATTTTTCTCCAATTTAGGTATTAATGCAGAAATCCGATGCTTTGTTTATCTGTTTCCCCTATTAGACTATGAGTTCTTTGCTCTAGTTTCCAACAAATAGCAAACATTCAAGGAAAGGTTTATTGACTGAATAAATGAAGGAAATGCAGAGGAATTTTAGGCAGGTGTTTATGCTAACACATCATGAAATATGTCACAATATTGGAATGAAGTTGTATCATGTTCTATGAAGAATTGTAGGGAAAATTACGTTCAGGCTTATTAAGTCAGAATTGGGCAATCGACCACCTAATGGTAACCCATTATTATGTGTCATTTTGCTGATTGTTGGGCAATCGACCACCTAATGGTAACCCATTATTATGTGTTATTTTGCTGATTGTTGTTTAGTATGACTAAGTTTTTTTTTTTTTTCCTTTTTGTCTTTTTTACTGACCGGTAACGGTATCGCAACCCTCAGTGTCGCACCCATACCGGGGACCGGCAATGGGATCACAACCCTCGGTGTTGCGCCCGCACCACGCTCTGCCAGTGAGTGGGAACCGGGCTCCACATGGGATCCGAACCCTTGGCGGGAGCGCCACCGCGCTCCCAAGCGGCGCACTTGTGCGCCACCGGGCTGGCCCTAGTATGACTAAGTTTTTTATTGCATTTATAGTTCTGTGGGATTCTGTGTTCAAATGATAAACTAGAAGCTCCTATTTGGTTTATAATTTGAACTAGGGTTCCCCTTAGTAACATTTGGTTGCTTTTGCCTTCCTATTTATGAGAACCTATCTCCCATTCCAAAAAAAAAAAAAAAAGAGGGGAGACTTCTGAATTGCAGTTCTATAGTCTACTAAGACTTCTTAGGGGATTACTATATATCGGTGAGCAGGTATCAGGGTCTTTTGAAGTCCTGAAAGGTAACTACTACTACTAAGACTTGCTCAGTATTAAGAGCATGTCAGAATTGATTACTTTAAGAACAATTATATGTGATTAGTTGAAGAAACATTATTCAAATGAGAAGGCTATTATATTTTCACGGCTCCAAAAATTTTATTCCGTGTCCATGCCTCTTAGTTTGCTTCTGCAACTTCCAAAATTAGTTCAAATATGTATTGTAAAATTATAATGCCCATCTTATGTAATTGTTCCTCATATTCTAACTCATATATCCTTTGAAAAATATTCTTATCTTTTTCTTTATTCCAAGGATTTTCTGTGTAGCACTCAAAATATTTTTTTAATGTTAATACATTTTTAAGAGTTTATGCATGGATAATTTTAAAAGGATTTAAAAGACAATACACATTTTTCCATGAAATATTTGAAGACTACTCACATTTATTATGGCTAGCATAAAATCTTTTGACTGT